GGTCACAGCATACATGGCAGCAAGGATAGCATCAAAGTCAAGATCAAAGATAGCTACACCAACCCTAGACAGCTCTCCCCAGCGGGGGATCTCCGCGGCCTCCGGGAACTGCTGGCGCCAAGCGTCCATCAGGTGGCCAAAGCAGCGCTGGGCGGTGTGGGTACCCCCACACTGCTCTCCAGCACGGTCGCCAGTGCGAAGGACGTAGGTGCAGGGACCAAAACCCCCACCACGCTGACGCTGCGTGTACCACTCAGGGAGCTGCTGAGGCGTCAGGAGGTCGCGAGAACGCTGCTGCTGCTGCTGCTGGCGCTGACCACCCCCAGTGCTGCTCCGCTGCGAAGTGCCACTCCGACCACCTCCACCACCGCCACCGCCACCCCCGCCTCCGCCTCCACCGCCGCCGCCTCCGCCACCTCCGCTCCCACTGCCACCGCCGCCGCCACCCCCGCCTCCACTGCCGCCACTAGCACCCCCTACCCCGCCACCACCTCCACCGCCACCCCCACTCCCTCCGCCGCCTCCACCGCCACCTCCACCGCCCCCGCTGGCCCCACCCGCTCCCTTGCCCCCCTTGCCATTGCCAGAGCTGCGTCTCCCACTAGGTGCAGACGCCGCACCGACCGACTCAAGACCAACGAGGTCGGCCGCAGCGGCAGAGGCGACAGAGGGCAAAAGGGGGGAAGGAGAACACCCCTCAAAGATGGGGGCGCGGGGGTCACCTCGAGAGGCTCCTACAGCGACTATGCTCTTCTCCGCCGCTAGGAGGGCCTTCTCAAGGCTGTCGACTGTGAGGGTGGTGGGACAGACCGCGAGGAAGTGGTCCCGGACTACACGAAGGGAGTCAGGAAGGCGAGTGACTAAAAAGTAGAGAGTGATGTACATGGGGGGGGGGTTCTTGGCGCAGAAGTCAACAGGAAGCGCAGCGCGGTAGCGAGTGTCACTAGTGCGAAGGTGCGTAATGAGGTCAGCGACAGTGGGAAAGGCGGCAAGGTCAAGGAAGAGGAAGGGGAGCATGAGGCGGCTCAGTGCAGAAGTGGCAGGGGAGGAGTAGCGCGCAACTACAGCGTCGTACAAGGTCTGGGCACTCTTGTATTGGCTAAAGTGCGCGCGCTCAGCGGTAGGCAGGTGGCGACGCATAGCAAGACGTGCAGCAGCATCGCGCGTGGCCCACTGTGAGCGAACAGTGGCGTCAGCATCAGCAGCAGGGGCAGGGACGGCACCAGAGGTGAGGTCAAAGAGAGAAAGACCGTCTGCCCTATCGCACTGTAAGAACAGCTGCAGGTCGTCGACCCAGACCTCAAAGTCAATGGCGCGACCCTCAGCGTCAAAAGCTAGGACACTAGGGGTAGCCATGACAACAGACTAGCAGAGCAAGTAGTGCGGGGAGGGGCACGCAGTAGCAGTGGAGCTGTGCTCACCAGACAGGTCAGGTCGGGCAGCTCAGCAGCACAGGAACACGGTAACACAGTAGCTGCCGGCCCAGTAGCAACAGCAGCCCCACAGGACCAGCAGCTCGGCTTCCCAGGTGGCTTGGGCGGGTCGGGCGGGTCGGGCGGCTCGGGCGGCTCGGGCGGCTCGGGCGGCTTGGGCGGCACGGGCGACTCGGGCGGCTCCGCTGCTCGGGTGGCTCGCGCGGCTCGGGTAACGCGGGGGCTCACGGGCGGCGCGGGCGTCGTGGCGGGCGGCTCACGGGCGGCTCGCGGGCGGCTCACGGGCGGCTGCACGGGCGGCTGGGGCGGCTCACGGGCGGCACGTTGGGCGGCTGCACGGGCGGCTGCACGGGCGGCTGCACGGGCGGTTGCACGGGCGGCTGCACGGGCGGCTGCACGGGCGGCTCACTGGCGGCTGCACGGGTGGCGCGTCGGGCGGCAGCACGGGCGGCTGCACGAGCGGCTCACGGGCGGCTGCACGGGCGGTACGTCGGGTGGCGCACGGGCAGCTCACGGGCGGTTGCACGGGCGGCTGCACGGGCGGCTGCACGGGCGGCACGTCGGGCTGCTGAGGGCGACGCACGGGCGGCCGACGGGCGGCTAGCGGGCGTCGGGCGGCGCGCGGGCGTCGGGTGGCTAGCGGGCGCCGGGCGGCTAGCGGGCGTCGGGCGGCTAGCGGGCGTCGGGCGGCTAGCGGGCTTCGGGCGGCTGGCGCGTCGGGCGGCTAGCGCACGGGCAGGCAGCTGACGGGCAACTCTGGGCGGCGCACGGGCGGCTCACGCGAGCCGCTCACGCTCTGCGTAGGGCAGCGCGCGGGGCGCTAGGGCGCTAGGGCGGGCAGCGCGCGGGCGCTAGGGCGCTAGGGCGGGCAGCGGGGCGCGGGCGCTAAGGTGGCGCTCGGGCTGCTAGGGCGGGCGGCGCGCTAGCTGCTAGGGCAGAAAAAAAAAATTCAAGGTAGTGGTGGTGGGCCCTAAGCACAGTTCCCACAGGGGAACCTGCTCGATACCATGAGAAGAAGTGAACGAGAATGAATGAAGTGAGTACAAATAGGAAACCCTAATGGGATTGTACCCCCTATGGGATACCCCACTATAGCCTACACAAATGAGTAAGCTATAAAGTTCTGACAGGCACGGCAACAAGACCAGCAGCTGGGTCTACTAAAACTCACACAAATCAAACCGCGGGCTTCGACCCAAGCATGATGGAGAGGTTCTTCTCCTTCATGTCCTTCTACGAACAACACCAGCAAGGGGCATCTGCGCAGTCAAACAACAGCAACAACAACAACGATGTGACACCGATAAGCCTCGACGGTTCATCCTACGCGTGAGGAAATCAGCAACAACAACCTACCTTCGCCCCGTACGAGCCCCAGCGCGGTTCCGTCAGTTTCATGCCGCGCCAGCAACCTTCACCTGAGCAAGAGAAGACATTGGACGCACTTCAAGTTCAGTCTCAGTTTGCGCACGACTTAAAACTGCAGACATCAAGACCGTTCGACGGAAAAGACTTCTTCATCTGGACATTCGAATTCGAGCTTATGATAAAAGGTGCGCAGATTCTTCGCTTCTTCGACGGGTCCGTGCCATATCCAACGCACGGAACGCAATACGACAAGCAGCGGTACACATATCAGTCCATGATGGCGTACACAATCCTCCTTCGCAACGTCACATCGAACAAGCAGCAGAACATTCGGTCTTACCGGGGATACGGGAACTCTGCCGAGCTTGCATACAACCACCTGAAGAACCTGTATCAGGCAACAGACAGCGTCAATCAGAGTTGGCTAATGGCACAACTGACAACAGTGGAAATGAAGCCGGGCGAAAAAGGAATGACGTATATCAGTCGCTGTCGCGAATTGCGCGACAAACTCCTTCGATGCGGAGGGTCGATATCGGAAGACGCCTTCGTCACAGTCGTCATTGGCGGTCTTGGTCCTCATTGGCATTCCACTCGTGCCATACTCCGAGCTCACGGGAAGATCTCCAAAGCAGCACTCTACGCCAAAATTCACGCTGAGCAGCAAGACATGGACTTGCAAGAGGAGCGGCACAAGAAGAAAACGTCAGTACCCGAATTTGCGTTTCACACCCAACGGCGCTACAACAACAACAACAATCGGCATCAACCAAAACCCGTACCTCCATTCTGTCATCTCTGCAAGACTTCAGGGCACCCTTGTGTCAAATTATAATGTTGTGTAGGCTATAGTGGGGTAGCCTATATGGGGTACACATTTCTAGGGTTGCATATTTGTATCACTTTCGTTCCTTAGTTAATCATTCTCGTTTCAGCTTTCTCATGGTATCGAGCAGGTTCCCTAGTGGGAACTGTGCCTAGGGCCCACCACATCGATTTTTTTTTTCCTGCCCGGAGCGCGCTCAGCCCGAGTCGCGCTCCTCTCTCTCACTGCGTCGCGCCGCCCTAGCGGCCCCGTCGCCCTGGCGGCCCCATCGTCCTAGCGGCCCCGTCGCCTAGCCCTACGGCCCCGCCGCCCTTCGCTGCGGCCCTGTCGCCCTTCGCTACGGCCCCGCCGCCCTTCGTTGCGGCCCTGCCGCCCTTCACTGTGGCCCCGCTGCCCTTCGCTGCGGCCCCGCCGCCCTTCGCTGCGGCCCCGCCGCCCTTCGCTGCGGCCCCGCCGCCCTTTGCTGCGGCCCCGCCGCCCTTCGCTGCGGCCCCGCCGCCCTTCTCTGCGGCCCCGCCGCCCTTCGCTACGGCCCCGCCGCCCCTCTCGCTGCGGCCCCGCCGCCTACCTTGCGGCTCCGCCGCCCTTCACTGCGGCCCCGCCGCCTCTCTCGCTGCGGCGCCGCCGCCTACCTTGCGGCTCTGCCGCCCTTCGCTGCGGCCCCGCTGCCCCTCTCGCTACGGCCCCGCCGCCCCTCTCGCTGCGGCCCCGCCGCCTACCTTGCGGCCCCGCCGCCATTTGCTGCGGCCCCGCCGCCCTTCGCTGCGACCCCGCCGCCCTACCAAGCCGCCCGAGCCACCCGAGCCGCCCAAGCCGCCCGAGCCGTCCGTTCCGCCCGAGCCGCCCGAGCCGCCCGATTCGCCCGAGCCGCCTGAGCCGCCCGAGCCGCCCGAGCCGCCCGAGCCGCCCGAGTCGCCCGAGCCGCCGTGTTGCTGTGCTGCCGAGCTGCCCGAACCGCCCTGTCCGGTGAGAGCAGCGCTTCTGTCACTGCACTGCCCCTGTCCTACAGTAAGCACTGCTAGCCTACTGCTGTCATGGCCACCCCCAGTGTTCTCGCTTTTGACGCTGAGGGTCGGGCCATTGACTTTGAGGTCTGGGTAGATGACCTGCAGCTTTTCCTACAGTGCGATAGGGCAGACGTTCTCTCCCTCTTTCACCTCACCTCTGGTGCCTCCCCTGCCCCTGCTGCCGATGCCGACGCCACTGTTCGCTCCCAGTGAGCCACTCGCGATGCTGCTGCACGTCTTGCTGTGCGTCGCCACCTGCCTACCACTGAGCGCGCACACTTTAGTCAGTACAAGAGTGCTCAGACCTTGTACGACGCCGTAGTTGCGCGCTACTCTTCCCCTGCCACTGTTGCACTGAGCCGCCTCATGCTACCATACCTCTTCCCTGACCTTGCTGCCTTTCCCACAGTCGCCGACCTCATTACGCACCTCCACACTAGTGACACTCCCTACCACGCTGCGCTTCCTGCCGAGTTCTGCGCCAAGAACCCCCCCGCCATGTACATCACTCTCTATTATATAGTCACCCGCCTCCCTGACTCCCTTCGTGTAGTCAGGGACCACTTCCTCTCGGTCTGTCCCACCACTCTCACTGTTGACCTCCTAGAGAAGGCCCTCCTAGCTGCGGAGAAGAGCATAGTCGCTGTAGAAGCCTCTCGTGGTGACCCTCGCACCCCCATCTTTGAGGGGTGTTCCCCTTCCCCCCTTTTGCCCTCTGTCGCCTCTGCTGCTGCGGCCGACCTTGTTGGTCTTGAGTCGGTCGGTGCGGCGTCTGCCCCTAGCGGGAGACGCCACTCTGGCAAGGGCAAAGGGGGCAAGGGCGCGGGTGGAGCTAGCGGGGGTGGCGGAGGTGGCGGTGGAGGCGGCGGAGGGAGTGGGGGTGGTGGTGAGAGTGGTGGCGGGGGTAGAGGTGTCGGTGGCAGCAGTGGAGGCGGAGGCGGCGGAGGCGGTAGCGGTGGGAGCGGAGGCGGCGGTGGTGGCGGAGGTGGAGGAGGCGGTGGTGGAGGAGGTGGAGCTCGCGGGGTGGCGCTTCGCAGCGGAGCGGCTCCGGTGGTGGTCAGCGCCAGCAGCAGCAGCAGCAGCGTTCTCGGGACATCCCCCCCCCCTCAGCAACTCCGTGAGTGGTACGCTGCGCGTCAGCGTGGTGGGGGTTTTGGTCCGTGCACCTACGTCCTCTGCACCGGCGACCGCGCGGGTGAGCAGTGTGGGGGTGCCCACTCCACCCAGCGCTGCTTTGGCCGCCTGACGGACGCTTGGCGTCACCAGTTCCCGGAGGCCGCTGAGATCCCCCGCTGGGGAGAGCTGTCTAGGGCACGTGTAGCTATCTTTGATCTTGACTTTGATGCTATTCTTGCTGCCATGTATGCTGTGACTTATAGTGACGAGGGTGACTGTTACCGGTGTTTCCCGCCCGATCCGGGCATTGAGACTGCTGCTCTAGGTATTGGTGAGGCTGCTGCTCTAGGTGCTAGTGCGGCTGTTGCTCTAGGTGCTAGTGCGTCTGCGTCCTCAGGTACTGGTGAGTTTGCGCTCTCAGGTACCGCGTCGGCTTCGGCCTCCCTCACCTTCACACTTGACTCAGGGGCTTCTCGCTCCTTCTTTCGAGACCGCACCACACTCACGCCGCTTGGTCGGCCGGTTGCAGTCTCCCTGGCAGACCCCTCTGGGGGTCCTGTCCTCTCTCACTTCTCCACTGTCCTCCCGTGTCCGGCTGCCCCCTGTGGCACCTTGTCTGGTCTTTACCTCCCCTTGTTCTCTACGAACTTGGTGAGTGGTGCTGACCTGCAGGATGCGGGGGTTCACCAGTTTACTCCTGCGAGTCAGCGGGTGACCCACTGCTCGGACGCTCGCACAGGCCGGCACCTGGCCACGTTTACGCGTCGGCCGGGGTCGAGCCTTTATACCCTGACCACTGAGTCTCCTCCTGTCCCTGCGTCTGGTCAGGTAGCTGCGTCGGGTCAGGTGTTTGCTGTAGCGTCCAGGTCTGGTCCTGAGTCTGCCCCCTGCTCGTGTCGCCTCCTGTCTCACGAGACTCTCTTGTGGCACCACCGTCTTGGTCACCCCTCCCTGCCTCGTCTCCGAGGCATGGCTTCCCGTGTCCTTGTCTCTGGTCTTCCCTGGTCACTCCCTCCCCTTCCTTCGGGGCCTGGTCCTTCCTGTGTCCCCTGTGTCGAGGGGCGGCTACGGGCTGCTCCTCACTCCTCTCCGTTTCCCTCGACAAAGGCCTCGCTGCAGACGCTTCACATGGACGTGTGGGGCCCGGCCCGCGTCCGTGGACAGGGTCACGAGCGCTACTTTCTGCTGGTGGTTGACGACTACTCGCGTTACACCACAGTCCTCCCCTTGCGCAGCAAGGGCGATGTCACTGAGGTGTTGATCGACTGGATCCGCGCAGCTTGTCTCCAGCTCATGAGGAGCTTCGGCTCGGACTTTCCTGTTCTGCGTCTGCACTCTGACAGAGGCGGAGAGTTCTCCTCTGGTCTTCTGCGAGCCTACTGCCGTGCGCGAGGCATCCGCGAGACCTTTACGCTTCTGGACTCTCCACAGCAAAATGGGATTGCTGAGCGCCGCATTGGCATGGTCATGGACGTCGCTCGTACGTCCATGATGCATGCGGCTGCCCCCCATTTTCTGTGGCCGGTTCGGTACGCGGCGCATCAGATCAACCTTCATCCCAGGGTCTCCAGGCCGGAGACCTCCCCAGCTGTGCTGTGGACGGGGAAGGTAGGCGATGCGTCTGCGTTCCGCGTCTGGGGATCTCGGGCAATTGTCCGCGACCTGTCTACGGACAAGTTGTCCCCTCGTGCTGCTCCTTGTGTCTTCCTTGGCTTCCCCCCTGACGCGCGAGGGTGGCAGTTCTACCACCCCACCTCTCGTCGTGTTCTGTCCTCTCAGGACGTCACATTTGACGAGTCGGTCCCCTATTACCGCCTCTTCCCCTACCGCACTCCTTCCCTCCCCCCGCCACCGCTCTTCCTTGTGCCAGGTCCCCCCCCAGTAGACCCCCTCCCCCCTCAGGGTCCTGCCCTTTCAGGTGTGTCCCAGGTAGACGCGGTCGAGCCGGTCGAGGTTACTGGTGACTCTGGTGCTGCTGTGGGTGCTGAGCCTGGGGGTGCTGACTCTAGGGGTGCTGCGCGGGTGGGTACTACGCCTAGGGGTGCTGGGCCTTCGGGTGGTACTGCTGGGGCGGCTGAGCTTGGGGGTGCTACGCCTGGGGGTGCTGAGCCTGGGGGTGCTACGCCTGGGGGTGCTGAGCCTAGGGGTGCTACGCCTGGGGGTACTGAGCCTGGAGGTCCTACATCTGGAGGTGCTGAGCTTGGGGGTGCCACGTCTGGAGCTGCTGAGCCTGGGGGTGCGGAGCCGGCGGCCGCTGGGCCTTCTCGTGTGGCGTCTGGCGGTGCTGGGCCTGAAGGTTCTCTGGGTGCTTCGCCACGGCGGGAGCCACTCTCTCCATAGGAGCTGCGTGAGTGGTTTGCCCGGCGCTGGAGGCGTACTGCTGGAGCTTCTTCGGCTGCTGAGGGTGCTGGTGCCGCGTCCCGGAGGTGCTCGTGCCACGAGTACTGGAGCTGCTGGGCCTGCAAGTTCGCCTGGAGCTGGAGCTGCTGAGGGTGTTGGCGCTGAGGCTACTGCTGTCAGTCCTGGAGACGGTTTTGATGGGGGTGGTGCTGGTGCTGCTGGAGGTGCTGCTGGCTCTGGTCCTGCTGCGGGTGCTGCTGGTCCTGCTGGAGGTCCTGCAGCTGGCGGTGGTGTTGGCGCTGGTTCTGTCCCTGCTGTGTCTTGAATCGCCGCGCGGCCTCGGCCGTACTTCGTTCCGCTCCTTCAGAAGGTTCTTGGTCTTCCTCCTCCCTTAGAGTGTCCACCGCCTGTCCAGTCCCAGTCACAGCTTCCGCCGGCCTCCCCACTGCCTGCTCCTTCTCCCTACACTGGTCCTACTAGAGGTCTTGCTCAGCGTCGTGCCTGCGTCTCGTCCTGCGTCGCCTGTTCGTGCTGCTCGCACTAGTGTTCGCGGTTCGCGTCAGCGTCCTCCTCCTGTCCCTGGCACGCACCGGATGTCTCTGCGTCCGTCCACTACTCCTTTGCGTGCCCCTTTGCCTTCTCCTCCTGAGTCCTCTCTTCCTGCACTTGCCGGCCCGGAGTCGGACTCTCTTCGTGCTGCCAGTCCTACTGTCACGCGTCTCCTTGCTACTGTCGTCAGTGACCCCTCCTTTGAGTCCACTGCTGCGTCTGCTTTTGTTGCTGAGCTCGTTGACTTTGCTGCTCGCTGTCGTCTAGACTACGCTGCTAGTCTTGTTGCTGAGTCTGCGTCTGTCTGTCCTCCGTCTGTCGGGGGTGAGTGTGCTCTTGGCACGGACGTCCTTGAGGACAGGCAGGAGGAGTTCCAGTGTCTGGCTGCTGCTTCACCTCATCTCGTGTCCGTACTGCTTACCCCTTAGGGAGACCCGGATGCACTTGACATCCCGACTCCGCGCTCTTACGCGGAGGCCGTAGAGGGTCCATACTCCTCTCAGTGGCAGGCAGCTATGGATGCAGAGATGGCTTCCTGGAAGTCCACAGGCACCTACGTTGACGCAGTTCCCCCTCCTGGGGCGAACATCGTCAGTGGCATGTGGATCTTCAGGGTGAAGCGTCCGCCAGGTTCTCCACCTGTCTTCAAGGCGCGTTACGTGGCTCGTGGCTTCAGTCAGCGGCAGGGAGTTGACTACTTTCAGACCTTCTCTCCCACCCCGAAGATGACCACTCTTCGGGTGCTGCTACACATAGCCGCTCAGCGTGACTACGAGCTTCACTCCCTTGACTTCAGCACTGCTTTCTTGCAGGGTAGCCTGCACGAGGAGATCTGGCTGCGCCGTCCACCTGGCTTCACTGGGACTTTCCCTCCTGGCACCCAGTGGAGCTTCTGACGGCCATTCTACGGTCTCCGCCAGGCACCGCGCGAGTGGCACGACACACTGAGGACTACGCTTGCGGCTCTTGGGTTTGCTCCCTCTACTGCTGACCCGTCGCTGTTTCTGCGCAACGACACCTCTGTGCCGCCGTTCTACATCCTCGTGTACGTCGACGACTTGGTCTTTGCCACAGCTGACACTGCTGGACTCGCCCACGTGAAGTCCGAGCTGCAGAAGAGACACACGTGCACAGACCTGGGTGAACTGCGCAGCTACCTTGGCTTGCAGATCACCCGGGACAGAGCACGCCGCACCATTACCCTGACTCAGTCACACATGGTGCAGCAGGTTCTTCAGCGCTTCGGCTTCACGTACTCCTCGCCTCAGACCACTCCTCTGCCTACTCGCCACTCACTCTCAGCTCTGCCTTCGGATGAGTCCGTAGAGTCGAGTGGCCCGTACCCAGAGCTTGTTGGCTGCCTCATGTACCTGATGACCTGCACACGACCTGACCTTGCATACCCTCTTAGCATTCTTGCACGCTATGTTGCTCCTGGGAGACGCAGACCAGAGCACATGGCTGCAGCAAAGAGGGTGTTGCGCTACTTGTGCAGTACATCGGGCATGGGGCTATTGCTTGGAGGGCAGAGTCCAGTGGTCTTCACTGGGCATGCAGACGCTTCTTGGGCTGACGACCAGGCTACGCAGCGGTCGTCACAGGGTTACACCTTCAGCCTTGGTTCCGGCTCTATTTCGTGGCGGGCTACTCGCTCGTCTTCTGTCCTCGGCTCCAGTTGGGACGCTGAGATCTACGCCGGAGCCATGGCTGCTTAGGAGCTTTGCTGGCTCACCTACCTGCTGACTGACCTCGGAGAGCCGCCTCGTTCTCCTCCAGTGCTGTACGTAGACAACAAGGCCATGCTGGCCTTGTGTCGGGAGCAGCGCCTAGAGCACAGAACGAAGCACATTGCTCTCCGCTACTTTCTTGCTCGTGAGCTGCAGCAGCGTGGTCAGTTGCGACTTGCGTACGTGGCCTCTGAGGCCAACACTGCTGATATCTTCACTAAGGCACTTGCGCCTTGTGATCATCAGCGCTTCTGTACTCAGCTTGGTCTTGTACCTGTCTTGCCTCACTTACTCACTTCTTGACCTTGCTTGTACTGTGACATATATATATACTCTTGCTCTTGCTTGTTTAGAGTGTTATATATATATGTGTTCCTGCATATGAACTGGCCTTCTTGCCTTGAACTTGTGCTCGGAATGTGTGGTGACTTTGTGATCCACCCTGAGCTTTGCTTTGTTTTGCTTGACTGGTCTTGTGACCCCTTGTTCTCCCCCACTTTGCCTATGGGGGTGTGTCAAATTATAATGTTGTGTAGGCTATAGTAGGGTAGCCTATATGGGGTACACATTTCTAGGGTTGCATATTTGTATCACTTTCGTTCCTTAGTCAATCATTCTCGTTTCAGTTTTCTCACCTCGCACACACTGCCCGAATCGTCAGCAGCCAACGCCGCAACGCCAACTTCGTCCCTCAAACAGTCAAGTGGCGTCCACAGAAGCGCACCCCACGAGTCAACTGCAGCCTTCAACGACATCGTCGACACAATCTGCACAAGGAGCATGAAACATCGTGAGCTGCATAGAAAGACTGACAGACTCCTGCATCACAGACTCACCACCGCATTATTCACCAGAAGAACAACTCGACAAAAGCACTCCTCGCCGCGAAACACTCGAGCCGAACCCGACGTATGCAGCCATCGCTCAAAGTGAGCCATCCGGGAAAGACACTTGGTTCTTGGACAGTTGCTGTGGACAGCAAATGTGCTCTTCATGTCGTTTTGTTCAACGCGGACACCAACTTCAACGAGAAGTCGTCATCACCGTCGCCAACAATTAGAACCTGCGCACACGTTGACAAGGCGTAGCGCAACTTTAGTCACGAGAAACAAATGTCATACTGCAAATGTCAAAGGTTTTGATTGCGGAGGGACTCGACTACAACTTACTGATTGTCAGTCAGCTGATGGCGAAAGGTATCCACCTCGAAGTAGACAGCACAACACAGAAGTTCAAGCTGTACCACGGGAGAGGAGGCCTCTACATTGGCAAGGCCGTGCTGATGAACAACGTGTTCGTCCTCGACTTCGTTCCAGATTTAGGCACCGCCGATAGCGAAGGCATCGTCACCTTCACCTCCTGGACGCACCCGCCGGATCTCGATCCTGATTTCAGCCCCGAAGGATTCTGGTACTCGCACACTATCCCTGAGGCAGAACGAATAAGAGCATTAGCGACGATTCAACATTCGGCAGCAACAGAGACAACATCGGTAGCAGCAGAGACAACATCGGCAACAACAGAGACAACATCAACAGCAGCAGAGACAACTTCGGCAACAGCAGAGACAATATCGGTAGCAGCAGAGACAACGGTAACAGTAGCGGTAAGATCAACACCAATCGCTGGTCCCTCAACGGCACAGATCTTCATCAACAACACACCACCGACTCTCGCGCAGCAGCTGAATCTGACTCAACGAGATGTTAATCGAAGCGCCAACTTGACCGCCAGTTTTTATTCCAACTCCGATCTGTATCAACGCTCACCCGGACATCGCGCCACCGAAGGAACCTGGCATGCAAGAATGGGACATCCAAGCAACACGATGTTAAATAACACAGTAAGAGCAGGCGTGCTCGACAAAGATTCCCTACTTCTAACTGACGGCAGAGAACTCCAGCGAGTCCGCGGAACATGCTTCACTTGTCCTAAAGCCAACTTACCGAATCAGCCGTTCGTTTCTCACCACAACCCGAGTGCACCAGCTTACGTACCACTTGAGAAAGTATACAGCGACATCATGTACAACCGCGAACCTAGACAAGGAGCATACAACTATGTCATCACGTTCATTGATGCCGCCACACGCTACGTTTGACACCTCAATCTTCCGAGCAAAGACATGGCCTTCGAAGCTTTCGTCGCCTGGCTCCCAGTAGCAGAACGAGAATCAGGCGTGAAGCTAAAAAGCTTCCAGTCAGACGGAGGAGGAGAATACACCTCACAGAGGTTCAAGCAGTACTTGGCAGAGAGGGGAATCAAGCGGCTCATCTCCCTTCCCTATGCCCATCAACAGCAAGGCGTAGCAGAAAGAATGAACAGGACCCTCCAGAAAACCATGCGCAAGCTGCTACGTGGCATGCACTTACCCAACCATCAGTGGCCTGAAGCAATGGACCACGCTGTGATGCTGCACAACCTGCTCTCATCATCATCGCTCCCGAACAACGCATCACCGCATCTGCTGTGGACAGGAAAACTGGGCAGCACAAAAATGTTACGAGTTTTCGGCTGCATGGTACAGTACCGACCCCCGTCTGCACAAGCCGGCCGATTCTCCCAACGCGCACAGTGGGGAATACACCTGGGCATCGAAAACATTACAACGCATGGAAGATATTTGACATCGACACAAAGGAAACAGTAGCAGCACGCGATGCTATCTTCTACGAGAACCTCACCCTCCGGACATACCTTGCCAACGTGGAAGAAAACAACCCAGACCTCTCGGG